ATGACAACGTGGTACTGGAATAAAGATAAACTGGACAGAACTAAAAGTCCAGAAATAAAGCCATACATCTATGGATAACTAAGTTTTGATAAGAGTGCTAATATCAATCAATGGAGAAAGAAAAGCCCTTTCAGCAAATAGTTCTGGGACCACTGGATATACATAATCAAGATAATTAAGTTGTATTCCTTCCTTACCCCATTTACAAACATTAACTCAAAATAGATCATAGACCTAAATGTAAGAGCTAAAACTATAAAACTCTTGGAAGAAAGCAGGAGTAAATTTTCATAACCTTGCCTTAGGCAATGGTTTCTTAGAAAAGACATCCAAAGCACAAACAACTAAAGAAAAAAAAAATTGGAATTCACAGAAATTAAAAAATGTTGGGCTTCAAAGGACACTATAAAGGCCGGGTGTGGTGGCTCATGCCTGTAAACCCAGCACTTTGGGAGGCCAAGGCGGGAAGGGATTGCTTGAGCCTAGCAGTTCAAGACCAGCTTAGGCAACAGAGTGAGATGTCGTCTCTACAAAAAATAAAAAAAATTAGGGTATGGTGGCATGCGCCTGTAGTCCCAGCTACTTGGGAGGCTGAGCCAGAAGGATCACCTCAGCCTGGGAGGTTGAGGCTATAGTGAGCTGTGGTCATGTCACTGTGCTCCGTCCTGGGTGACAGAGTGAGACATTAACTCTTAAAAAATTTTTAAAAAGACACCACCAAGAAAGTGAAAAGACAACCCACAGAGTTAAAGAAAATATTTGCAAATCATATATCTGATAAAGGTCTGTTATCTGGAATAAATAAAGTATGCTCAAAGCTCAACCATAACAAAAAACTCACTTAAAAATGACCAAAAATTTTTTTTTGAAAGCAGGATTTATTGAGAAGACAGAAAAGCTCCCACAGTGGGAGGGGACCCAAAGGGGTTGCCTGACAAATTTTTTTTAATAGCCATTTCTCCAAGTTAAAGAAAATAAACAAGTGGCCTACAAGAACATGAAAAGATGCTCAACATCATTAGTCATGGGAGAAACACAAATCAAAACCATAATAAGGTTCACACACATTAGATTGAGTATAATAAAGAAGGCAGATAACATGTTTTGGTAAGGATGTGAAGAAATTGCAGTGCTTGAACATTGCTATTAGGAATACACAATTGTACAGTCACTTTATTAAAGTTTGGCCCTTCCTCAAAATAGTAACCCTTTGCACTCAGAGACATCTCACAGATCACCTACCAGCAACTTGACCACACTTTTTTATGATATAGTGAAAAATGAATCACTTCATATTAAATAGTATAGCGTTGGAACCAATTATTGTAATGATATCTGGCTTATATAGTGGAATTTTGGATATTGAGGACTTATTTATGACAAAAAATCAAATTTTTAAATATTCTTCTAATGTGTGGTAATATATGAAACAGGTTCATTGATGCATGTTTTGCAACAGTTATTTGTTGACATCTTCCACCTGGTATTTTTCTATTCATGGAGACAATGCAGTCTCATTTTCTTCCGCCCACATTAATAATATGTAATTTATTGTACAGTCTGTTGTTTGAAGATGATATGGAAGGACATTCTCTTTCTATGTAACCAGTTGATTTTTTTTTACGTATATCTCAGTATATATTCCAACTCTTTATTTGCTTTTTTATGCAATTTGAATGGAAAACTTCAAGGAAACATACATTTTTGAAAAAAATCTGCGCTGGCACTAAGTTTGTCCTTTATAATCATCAGCAATTTCTTTATGTTCCCCTGAAAAAAGACATCGAGTGCAAAGGGTTAAACATAGTTACCATGCAACTCAGCAATTCTATTCCTACATACATACCCAACACACTCACACAAAAAACTGTACACAAATGTTCATAGCAGCATTATTCATAATAACCAGGAAGTGGAAATCACCCAAATGCCCATTAGCTGATGAACAGATAAATAAAATGTATCAACACCATAGAATATTATTCAGTCATAAAAAGAAATGAAATACTGATTTATGCTAAACATGAATGAACCTCAAAATCATTATGCTAAGTAAAATAAGCCAAGACAAAAAAAAAATGCGTATCTTGACTTCATATTACATTATTCCATTTATATGAAATGGCCAGAATAGACAAATTTATAGAGACAAAAAGGAAATTAATTGTTGCTTAGGTTTGAGGGTTGAGGGGAAATAAGGAGTAATTTCAAATGGGTACAGGATTTCCTTTAGGGAAATCCTAAAATTGATTGCAACAATGGTTGTACAAGTCTGTGAACATAGTAAAAACCACTGATTGTACACTTTAAATGGGTGAAATGTATGACGTACAAATTATATTTCAATTAAGCTGTTAAAAAAATCCAAAGGGAAATAATGGGAAATATTTTTGCTACATTTTAAATTTGCTGGAACTCTAAAAAGAGTTTAGAATTTCTGGAACTCTAAAAATAAATAAGTCATTTAAAAGGAGTTGATTAAAAGGTTTATTTTCTGGGAACTTTATGCATCTGCAATAAATAATATTGTAGCAGTTGGCTGCCTCCAATTTCAGGCAAAATAAATACATTTGTGACAAAAAAGAGTGAAAAGAAATATCAGTAGTTTACTCAATAGATTCTCTAAACTTTGTCTAGACATATAATTTAAACTAAAATCAATCAAAGGAAATCACTTTAAATAGCCAAGAGACATACATATCAAGAATCAAAAAATGTTTCTGCATTTTGCTTATTGATCCCATTCCTGTTATATTAATCTCAAGAAAAAAAGAAAAACATAATAGGTACAAAAACATAACAGTACTGTTATTGTAACACAAACCTCTAAATCAGTGCTACTTAAGAGTGTTTGCAACTGGTTCAACTAAATCTCTAAGCACACTGTTCAGTCCAATTGACGATATTTTCACAGCAAAGAGGTTCTCACTGAAAGAAGTACAACACTGATTTACATCCTTCAGCAAGCTTCTCATCAGGCTGAAAAACAGCACTGAGTAAGACTGCTCTAAAGAACCTGTGTGTCGAAAATAAGGGCATGGTTAGGTAGCCTGTGACATACTAACTCAATGAAATACTGTATGAACATAATGTATTCAACTCTTATGTGCCAGGCACTGTACAAAGTTCTTTATATATATTACCTCTTTTATACTGGTAACCTTAGGGTCTGTTATTGTCTCCTTTTTTCAGATTAGAAAATAAAACTGAGAGATCACAGTATTGCTTAAGGGCTAAGAGTAAGTGGGAAGTGAAATCAAGACTCACATTCAGACTCATAAATTTCCCACTCTTGATCACTTTATTATACTGCCTCTACAAAACTCAATATAAACTATGATTGTAACTATGTCTGTATACATGTGGATGAAAAATTAAAGGAAAGAAAATGGAAAAGAATCTTTAGGATAGTGAAACTAAGATAAATATTTTATGATGTATTTTCATGATCTGTAACTGTTCTAAGAATAAATATAAAAGTAATTCAAATAGTAAGTCCAAGATTACAAATAGACATTTATGAAATTTAAGTGTCTCAACTACATATCTTATAAAGCAATTATGTAACTATTTTCATTCAATTTTGTAAAAGTTATTACCCTTAGAAGATATATTTCAAAGGGTGTTTCTCAAACTTGAGTATGCACTGAAATCCTCTGGAAGTTTGTAAAAACACAAACTGGATGGACTTAGAGCCTATAATACTGAGGGATCTATCACAGAATAAAAGAACTGAGCACCACATGTTCTCATTCATAAGTGTACCTTGAGCAATTATTGCAATATTATTAGAAAAAGATTGACAGTAGTGGCAAACTACTGGTGTTGGGAGAGGGGGTGGAACTGGCAGTAGTGGAAAACTACTGGGGGAGGGGGGCACACTTCATCAAAAAAAAGGAGAAAAAAAACCCAAAAACACAGATTGGCCAGGCACAGTGGCTCACGCCTATAATCCTAGCACTTTGGGAAGCCGAGGTGAGAGGACTGTTTGAGCCCACCTAGGCAACTTGGCAAGACCTCATCTCTACAATAAATCAAAACATTAGCTAGGTGTGGTGGGCACACCTTTAGTTCCAGTTACTTGGAAGGCTGAGGTGGAAGGATCACCAGAGCCCAGCAGGTTGAGGCTGCGGTGGCCATGAGCATGCTACTGCACTCCAGCCTGGGTGACAGAGTGAGATTCCAACTCAAAAAAAAAAAAAAGAGAGAAAAGAGAAAAACACAGATTGGTGGGTTCCACCACTAAAGTTTCTGATTCAGTCAGTCTAGAGTGAGGCCCAAAAATTTGCATTTCTATCAGGTTCCCAGATGATGGTGATTGTTGCTAGTCCAGGGATCACATTGTGAGAACCAGTTTAAAAAAAAATTAGCATCATCTTAAATCTAAATACCACTGCATGTACCAATTAAAAATAAACTTGAGGCATTTTTCTGGATTGTTTTAATGTGTCAAGTAGGTTCCTGATAAAATGAACATAAGTCATCAGATGGAAATTATAACATAGTTTATTCTTTTGAAGTATACAACAGTTAATGTCTTGGTCCAATTATTTCTTTAAATCAAGAGCCACAAACTTTTTTTTGAAAGCAGGACAAACTTTCTAAGGAGGTCAAATAGTTATACTTTAAATACCTACTGATAATAGTAGCTATCTGTATATCTCCAGCTGAAACTGATCAAATTTTAGAATTTGCTGAACTATCGTAAGGTTTTTAAAAATTAGTCTTGCTAAAGCAAACTAACAAATTTAGAATAAAGAACAGTCACAAGTACAAAGAAGAAACCATTCATACAAGTGAATAGCATCATTGGTAAGTAACCTCCATATCTCAGCTGACAATTAGATTCCAATAATCTAACAGAATAAGGAAGTGAATAGAATAAGGAAGTGCATAGAATAAAGAAGTGCTGTTTCAGCCTCCCCAGAAAAACTTAACCCCAATCAAGTAATCTATGATCATTTTTGCCTACATGCATGAAACTAAGCCATGAAACATACCTATGTTTCTGACCATGATTCCTTTCAGTTCATCCACTTGGGCTTGAGTCTCCATCACTTTATCTAGGCCCTTATTCTCGGAGTGATGCTTCTATAAGAAAATAAGTTTCAATTTATGGTATCTAGACATTATTTACAATAGGAAAACAAAAATAAGAGTAATGACATTTACATTGGGGAATGCTATAAAATTGTGCCTATTGATATAAGAGATATATTTTACTTCACTGGAAAAATGTTGCCATACCTAGGAAAAAATATGGGTAGTATAAAAAATGTTTCCATATAAACTATGAGTATTCTAGTAAAAAAAACACTTTATTTTAAATAAAATAAAGTCAAATATATTATATTAAATATATCTCTGTGACTTTTGGGCAGAGGTGTGGGGATATATAATCTGTGCTCAAACAAGAAAGGAAGGGGAGGAAGGGCCAGGATATGGAAAGTGCACTTGAAAATTGTTCCCCAATTCTTGAGTATGATGAAGTAGGGGTTGTCCCAGTTCCTTAGTATCTGTTCTCGTATCTTCTGGGATCACAGCATACCTACTATTTTTATTGGTTTCTCACAGGATCTAGAATTTTTTTTTTTTTTGAGTCACGGTCTCACTCTGTTGCCCAGGCTAGAGTATAGTGGCACAATCACAGCTTACCACAGCCTGGATCTCCTGAGCTCAGGGGATCCTTCCGCCTCAGGGCCCCAAGCCGGGACTACAAGTGCACGCCACCATGCCTGGCTAATTTTTTTATTTTTTATTCTGGTAGAGACAATGTCTTTCTGTGTTGCTCAGGCTGGTCTTGAACTCCTGGGCACAAGCAAACCTCCTGCCTTGGCCTCACAAAGTGTTAGGATTACAGGCGTGAGCCATCACACCCAGCCAGGATCTAGAATCTAAGATACTAATAATATATATATTTTAAAATTATTATCCATAGCTAGCAACTATGGAATGCTTAATACACAATGTTCTGGTCACTTCACTGTGCTAAGTGATTCAAATAGGGGATATTATTTAATCCACCCAAAACTCTATAATGAAGATACTATTATTATCTCCATTTACAGATGAGGGAACTGGCAGAGATTTGTTCAGAGGGTCACATACTGATCTGGAGTTAATGACAAACTGGCTAATCTGAAAATTTTGCTGCCAGCTGACCCTTTACCTTTGACTATGCATTGGTATTTTTCTGTTAGCAGTGTTTTGTACGGTTTCACACAGATGAACATTCCTAGCGGGTATGACACAAACCAACTACTTGAATAACAAGGTTTATATGTAACCAATTGAAAGGATCTTAATTCACAGAGGAATATATACATAGTTAGAAGTATAATACTAAAAAGAGTATTAAAAAGACACAGGAGAAGTGAAAAATGTTCAATTACATTCTTTTTTTAAACTCACAGCAAAATCATAGCTAGAGCTTAGGTCTTTGTACTCAAATAGTTTCATGGATAAAGGTAAGCATTTTAAAAGGTGTTCAACATCATGAAAATGTAAATTAAAGCCACAATGGGATACCACTACACACCCACTAGAATGACTAAAATTAAAAAGACAGACCACAAGTATTGGCAAAGATGCAGACACTGAAACTGCTAGTGAGAATGTAAAATGGTACAGCCACTTTGGAAGAAAGTGTTATGATTTTTTATAAATTACATATCACTTACCATAAGACCCAGCACTTCCATTCCTAGGTATTTACCAGAGAGAAATAAAAACATATGTCCACACAAAGACTTATACATGAAAGTTCATCGCAGCTTTATTCATGATAGCTGACAACTGGAAGCAACTCAAATATCCAGCAACAGGTGAATGAATAAACAACTTGTGGTATTTGCATATACTACTATTCAACAAAAAAGATAACAAACAACTGATTTGTACAACATGGATGACTATCAAAAGCCTTACACTGAGTGAAACAAGTAAGACACAAAAGAGTACATACTGTATTATTCCATTTATAAACCATTCTAGAAAAGACAAAACTAACAAATAGTAATGGAAAATACATCAGTGGTTGCTTGGGGCAGAGTGTGGGGGAAGAGACTGAGTGGAAAGAGACATGAGGGAAGTTTTAAGGGTGATGGAAATGCTTTGTCTTGACTGCAATGGTATTTCACAGATACATACGTATATAAAACTTCACTGAGCTCACAATTAGGGATTCAAACAGGTGAACAGACTTTCAAATGATTAACCTGACTTGTTCAAAAATTAAATTTGACTCATGGAAGGGTAGAAATTTTGTGTATAAGTTAAAAGATCATTTGGCATGTTGAATGCATTTAAGCATTAGATGGGTAATCCTGAGGTACTCTGACCATTATTAATAGAAATATAGAGATAACAGAGAACATCACTGCTTTCCACCCTGAAATGGCCCCTTTACATTTTTCTAATCTGAAAAGTTTCATTATATTGACTTATAATAACACAATCAGAAAAACATATCACAAGCCAGGGCCCCCTATATTCGTGGTATTTTAAGGTAATAAAATATTAATCAAAATACTTTATCCTGAGAAAGATCTTACCAGCTGTGCAGCCAAGACACTTGAGAACTCGCTATTCATGGCATATGGAAGTGCTGTCTGTGCTCTTGAACCATAAGTAGTCTGGAACCTCTTCTTTATCTCATTCAGAAAACTGAAGGCTCGAGAACGTTCAAAATCCTGAAGAGAGACCAAAATAGAGTTCACATTTAGAAAGTAAACAAAGATGATGTGGATTATTGTCAACAATAAAAAGAACTAATATTTACTGAGTAATAACTCTATGAAGAGGAGCTAGCATTAATCCATTTTAAAGATAAGTAAACAAAGGTTCTGAAAAGTTAACTAACTTGTCAAAGGTCCAACAACTAGTAAATGAAAGAGCTGAGAGTGAAATTGATATATCTGGTTATTGCCAACCAAAGATAATGGTGCCTAAGTTATCAACTTACTGAAATCAGAAACTGGGTTTTATTCCCTCTGTATCTTTCATAGGATTTATTTAAGGCCCAATAAAAGATATTCAATAAATCCATAACAGTACAGTCTTTCACATACACAGATAATGCTATTGACATGAATTTTGAATTGGGTTTTTTCAGTAGTGGCAGTAAATTTGAAAAGATCAAATGACATACCCATGTTTAATCTCAGCCAAAATGCATGTTTAGTAGAATATCTTAGAGAAAAGTATGTATGTATGTTTACGTATGCGTGTGCATGTACTTGTGTATCAATTAGAGCTCCAGAAATTATGAGGCTCAACTCTAACCATCCCAGATTTTATGATATTTTTTCATCTACTCCAAGCTCTTTCACATCAGTCATTTCAGATACAGCTGGATTTTTTTCCTACTTTTAGAAAATACTATGAAGTCAGAGATAAAAATCATTATGATGATCACTGGTTCACAGTCATTTCCATTTCACTCAAGATGTTTAATTTAAGTCAAGGTTTATTAAATTGGGGTCAACAGACCAAATTCAAGGAGTCCTTGTACTTGGACAGGAAAAAAAAAATCACACCATTATTTTTTACCAATCCTTAACTAAATTTCAATTGTGGATATATATTTACAACCAGAGTAGTATTAAATAGTACCTGTAACTTTGTCACCAACAGAAATCATTTTTCACATACTATTATAGTATATTTACTATTTTGGGGGGAACCCCTAAAAAACTGGAATTATCTCTTGGAGGATGGGCCCCTTGTAGTACAGGCTTCCCCCACCAGGTAAGTGTTCTAGAAACCCATCAGCATCAGTGTAACAGCTAGTATTGTTGTGAGAGGCCGTGTTCAGCTTCAGTGGATTTTTTTTTTAGATTCTTTCAACACCTTTGCCTATTTTATAATGGGTGATTTACAAGTGCACCTGCGTACACCACATTGAGTGTTCAGCAGTTTTTGACCAAAAACAGCATGACCCCCATGCCCCACCCTCCCTATTCACCTGATCTTGCCCAAGCAACTTTTTTTGTTTACCTGATGAAAAAAGTCCTTAAAGGGAAATGTTATGCCGATGTGGAAGAAGTGAAACAAAAAACAGCAGAAGAACTAAAAGGCATCAAAACTGATGAGCTCAAAAACTGTCTCAAGCATTGAAAAAAGTGTCTTGATAGGTGTATTATATCAGATGGAGAGTACTTTGAAGGTGACAGAGGTTTAAACATGTATGAATAAATACACATTTTTTAAATAAATAAATTCCATTTTGGGGGGTTCCCCCTTATGGTTACCAATATCTCAAAATATTGTTTCACTCAACATTTCAAAATTATTATTAGTTATCAGACCTATGACTAGATCTTGTTAATAAGATCATAAAGAAGCATATATACTACCAATCAATTTAAAAAATATTTTGAATACTGCATACACACACACACACACACACACACACACACATTTGAATGTAATTGGTTTTATTAGAACCATGTGTGTTTTATTTTATACTTGAAAAAACATTCTGGGAGGGGCTCATGAAGAACAGAGGGGTCTATGACAAAACAAAAATTAGGAACACTGATCTATGGCAAGCATGCCAATTCCATGTCTCTTGTCAGTGAGAAGTTTAGAAATAAGTATGTAGTCAACAAGACATGAAAGGAAGTCCACTTTGAAAGCAGGGGAAGGGGAGGGCATGAGTCTAGGAAAAGCTTCCTTATTCCTACAATAAGAGAGCCAAGAAGACACAGTCCCTCTTTTCTGGACATGAACAAATAAGCATGTAGCTATATAAGGACAGCTTGTTTTGGAAGCTGACACTGAGGAAAGCAGAGGAGAGAAAGGACCTTAATGACATAATTAAGTTGTTGTGCATTTTGGATCTAGAGCCGACAAATACTCAAAAAACAACCCAACCAATGTAAACTACAGGTTTACATAGGTGATTATAATGTATTGTGATAGTATTTTCTCAAAACATTAAAAAAATTCAATACCTATTGATTGGGGGAATGAAATTATCTATCTAATTTAGTATTCTAGTAAAACAAATTTTGAGAGGCTTTGATACCAAAGAATCATAATTATTAACACTAATTATCACTACACAATAGGGTAAATATAGAAGTTGCAAGCGGTTAAGCTAATATGCTACCAAAACTAAGCTGATTTGCACATACCCAGGTATCAAGTTTTCTTGTCATTTGCCGCTCTATATGACAAATGCACAATATAAAAAAATTTCCAGTTATGAAAAGTTCACATCATCTTTACCCACCATAGGTATAGATAATTAACAACTGACGATATTAACAGTACATATAGTAAAGTAGTAATATGTCTTTAAGTTACTTACATCATCAGTGATACAAAGATATATAATCCTGTCTTGGCAGATGTAATGAAACAAATAACTGTAGAATAAAAGATATAAAACTTACTATGGTTATACGCAATATCACTTTCCCTTCTGTCTACGTATAGCAACATCTGTACTGCCAATGTCACCATATTATTTACAGATACGGTCTATTCTCCCTCTCACCTCCCCCCTTGTTTCTTTAAGGTCAAACTGATAGACATGAATAAGAAATTTTAAAAAGTGTCCACCTTAGCTACATAGCACAATGGCATGTGCATTACCCATTAAAATGATAGTTACAAAAGCATAATTGGACTCAAGGCTTAATGAGATATGGCATCTTAGAAGAAGCATGTAACTAAGACTGACTCCCAATAGGCCATATAATGTTCTTTGCTTTTTCTTAAGATCTCAAAGCAAATACCTTTTCTATCAAATTCTCAACATTTGTTTATCTACTTTGAGCCAGTGCTGGATGCTGAGGATACAAAAAAGCAAAACAATCAAGTCCCTGTCTTCACAGGGATCAAAGTGCAAGGAATTACAGTGCAAGCATAGCAAAGAAGATGGCAATCAAGTGGTACTATGGGGACACAGAGGAGGCATGTAAAGGCTATTTGCCAAAGGGTAACAGGAAAGACTTCCCGGAACAAGTGATGTTTGATATGAGACTTGAAAAATAAGGAAGAGATGGCAAGTTTTCCAGCAAGGAACCAGCAAGCATAAGGGGCCTGGAGATAAAAGAGCATATAATGAATTCAAGAAAGTAAAATTGGCTCACATGACTAGAGTACAGAATGTGAGGGGTAAAAAAATTGCCTGGGCAGGTTAAGCCTAGAGAATAAGCAAATACCAAATTTTATAAAACTTCATAAACCATGCTGAGCATTATCCTAAGAATAATGAACAAGTATCAAAAGGTTTTAACCTGGGGAAATGTGGTCAGATTTGTACTTTAAAAAGGACGCGTTGGTTAGAGTGTGGGAAAACTGACTGAAAGGAAGACTACTGAAGAGAGACTACCGCAGTATACCAGGTAAACTAAAGTAGAATGAGCAAGAAAACAAAAAAGGTCAGAGAAGAGAAACAGAAGGTAACATTTATCGAACTTGATAACTTAGTTACTGGTGATAAGACAGAAGGATAACTAAATTTTGCCTCCCAGATTTCTACCTTTGGCAAGTGAGTAGACAGGGGCACCCATTGAATTACATTAATGTTCACACAGAGGCCTGATATGAATTATAAGGAGGTATGATAACTCAGGCAAAATATTTTCTTCCACTACTCTAAAACTGTACACACCAATTCCACTAATGATCTCTACACTGCCATATCCAGTGGCTCTCTCTGAACCATTTGACAGTGTTGACCACTTCCCTTCTTCTAGAAAGTGTTTTCTCTCTACTAGAAAAGTCTTCTTTGATACCAGCCTTGCCTGGTGTTATCAGCTGAATGGTGTCCTTTCAATGTTTATGTGTTAAAGCCCTTACCCTTAGTGTGACTATCTTTGGAGGTGAGGTCTTTGGGAGGTAATAAGGGTTGCATGAGGTCATGAAGGTAGGGCTCTCATGATGGGACTAGTGGCTTTAAAGAAGAAAAAGAGAGAGATCACTCTGTCTCCATCAATCTCTCTCCATCATGTAAGGACACAGAAAGGTCAGGAAGAGAGCCCTCAAGAATAACCAAATTGGTTGTTATCTTGCCCAGCCTCCAGAACTGTGAGAAATAAATGACTGTTGTTTAAGCCACTCACTCTATGGTACTTTGTTATAGCAGCCAAGCAGACTAATATACCTGGTTTATACCATAGTCTCTTTCTCTTTATGCTGACATTTCTGGCATCCTTAGTCCCCTGTTTTCTAATACTCACTCCCTGGAGGGCAGCATCTACTCTCCTATTTTGTTGTTGTTTTCAGCTACCACAATTACACTGATGATTCTCAAATCTACATGTGACCTATCTCCTGAGCTCCAGGATTACATACACTACTATCTACTAGACATATCTAACTAGATATACCATAGACAATTTAAACATGGTATGTCCAAAATGGAAGTCATTATTTTTCCTATAAAAATTGTTTCTCCTAAACCAGACTTGAGAGTCACTTGGTACACAGGCTACAAAAGGAAACAGGGTATAATCTCTGCCATCAAGGAGCCTACAGTCAGAGAACAGAGACAAACAATCAAGACTGCAATTATAAAATAGTGTTATAAGTGCCACAATAGGAATAAACACTAGATGCGATGTAGACATATAAAAAGCATGTCTAACTGACCAAAAAGCCTGACCCAGTCTCGGAGTTCAGAGGTTTCTAGAAGAGGAAACATCTAAGCTCAGAAACACAAATTTATATTTTTTTTAAAAAAATTAAGTAGATAAGACACATTCATGAAAGGTAACAGCTATTGCAAAGGCTTGGAAGAGAGACAAAACCTGACATTGAACAGCAAATAGCTAAGTATGGCTACAGAACAAAAATAAGGACTAAAGTAGTGAGAGATGAGGCTATCGAAGGGAATAGGGGCAGATCTTGAAGAATCTTCCAAGTCTGGTTAAGGAATTTTACTCTGAGGGCAGGGAGTACCTGCTAAAGGAAGAGATATAATCAGAACTGCCCTTTTAAAGGGATTAAAGTAAAAATTAACTACTTCATTTGGAACCTGTAAACTAAGCAAAAGTTTACAAAAGGGTTTAGAAGAATGACATTCTCAGAAGACACAAAAGCATGAAAAAAATGTTAACAATGTTAGAAATAACACAGCTAACTCAGGGAATGGCAGAGTCTTATGAAGATAAGAATAGAAAGGTCCGAAATAGACCAAATTGTGAAGTGTGAGTTTGGGATTTATTTCAAAAGAAGTGGATTTTGAGCAATAAAGTAACATCACAGGAATGTGAAATATACATTTAAGGTTGGAGCAACTAGAAGCAGGAAGACCAGTTAGGCAGAAGCTGTTAGAAATGAAAAGTAATGAAGACTTGAACTAACACTGTGACAGTGGGGATAGAGGAGAGGAAATGAACTGAAATACCTCTTACAGAAGAATGGTAAGGATTTGGTGAAGAAGTCAAATATGATTCTGAAGTTTTAGGCTCAGCCAATTGAGTGGCTGGTAACACTGCTAAAGAAGAAAGAAATAGCAAGAGAAAGAAAAGATTTCAGGGGAAAGTGTTTAGCATACAGTAAAATGGAAATTCTTCTTTTGGTGTACAGTAATATTTTTAATTAGGATAATGAAAAATAGTTATAGGAAAAAGACTAGGACAGAAGTTTAAAAGGAAAAACTATCTCAGTGATGGGAGTGTCACCCTGGAGGTTAGGAGGAGGACTAGATTAGAACACAAGTAGACACGCATGACAGACAGAAAACATCTCCTACTACAACCATATTTTAATTGGATTACATATTATAGCCTTCTTTGTGGTTAGATATAGTTATGTAACTAAGTTTTGGCTCATAATATGTGAGTGGAAGACATATGCCCTACTATCCCGGTCTTGCCTCTAAAATGTGCTTTCCCTGGTAATTTTCCCAGGAACTGACTAGAAACACACAGACTGTAAGCCTAATACATTTTTGAAGAAACTATAAAGTCACAATCACAAGAGGCTGGGATTATTTAACCCTTAAAGCAGCCTCTGGACCCCCAAACCTACATCAGCAGGTAACAGACTACAAAACTTGTAAAGTTCCCAAAGATGACATACTCTCTTCTTCACTGTGGTTGTGGCCAGAAAGGATAATGAACTATGAAGAACTTCCTGGAAAACAAAGTCAAGAGTCAGGCAGAAAAGATGAGGGAGCTCCTCCAAGAAATTATAAACATTAACCACTCCCCAGTCAGAACAGGGAGTCTTTGAAATTGCAGTGAGGCAGTTATTTCGTCATGGCCAGGAAGCAGTTACTTCTAGGTGTTTCTCATTGTAACTCTCATTGTGGTGATCTTGTTCTTATTTCACCATTGCCTACTGGGTTAAGCTGGGAAAGCAGGGAAAACATACAACTTGCCTTGCAGATATGGTCATGGGCCACAGGAGCACACTTGGGACTGACGGAGAGGACTGTGTACCACCCAGATACTCTGGCTTGGGATCAAACACAGCAGCTAGATAGGTTTTTGAAACTACCTTCCTCAGAGAAGAGGCATATTCTGTTTGGGAAGAAGAGTTCACCAAGATATTTGGGTGGTCAGAAGAGTCAAGTAGAAGACTGCAAGTTATCCCCTGATATCCTATAACCTCCTCCAGAGTAAGAGAATCTTAGTTAAGCCTATGACTGTATAGCTAGAGACATTTCCTGGCCTCTCTTCTAGTTAGGTTAGTTATATGACTATATAGTGAACAATAAAATGTAAGCAGAAAATTCTGAATAAAATATCAGGCTACTTCTGAGCCCTGCCTTTAAAATTACTGGGCAAGCACTGTGATATAGCAAGCACTGATGGAGCTGCCTTGACCAGAGTTGGAAGGCACTAATTGAGAATGGCAGAGTCACTTATCTCTGGACTGTCTTATTTAAATTACATTATCTTGGGGTCTCCCTTATAGTAGATTAGACTGAACTCTAAATTGTAAAAGGGGATAGCTCTAGAAGGCAATAAGGAACTCTTTCTGAGATAAGAACAAAGGAAACAAGGATGGTTAAAGCAACAAAAGATTTTTAAGTATCAATAAGGAAGGTTGAAGCACTTTTAATCTGATTATTAAGATTTCCCATCTACGCCCTCTCCAATCAGCAACTAGAATGATCTTTCTAAAGCAAAATCTGATCATGCCACACCCTGGCCGAAAACCTTCAACCTTCTTACTGCCTGCAGGGTAAAATCCAATCTCTTAATACGGCCTATGAGGCCCTATATGAGTTTTCTTCTCCCTATTGCTCTAGCTTTATCCTTACCATCCAGGATACAAGTCAGAGAACAACCTGAAGTTCCCTATATGTCCTATGATCTTATGCTTCCATACTTCTCTACCTGCTGTTTCTTCTACATGGAATGCCATCTCCCTATCCACTATCTCCCACCCTCTACTATAATTATCTACAGATTTGACTGTCTCTCTCATTAAACTATAACCTCTATGAGGGCAAATACAGCATTTCTTTTTATATTCCCAGCATAAAGCAAAGTGCCTGAAAGTAGTTAAGTGCTTAGTAAATATTTACTCAAAGAATGAACAACCAAAGGAACATTCTTTATCTTATCTGTATCATTTCACATATCCTACAGCTCCAGAGCAAAAGATTTTTTACATTTAACATTTCCATATATTTTGTAGAATAGAATAATATCAGTTCAATTACAGAATAAAATAATTACAAGTTAAATTTATAAGTAATAAAACCAGACATTTTCTTTCTTTTTTTTTCTTTTAAGTGAGAAAGCAGGATTTACTGAGAAGACAGAAAAGCTCCCACAGTGGGAGGGGACCCGAGGGGGTTGCCTAAAACCAGACATTTTCTAAGATGGTAAGATTACTGTCAGTTTATTCAAATTATGTATCTAGAAGTTTGTCTTCCAGTTTTCTACTGTTCTGATTACAATAACAGAATTTCCTTCTTTCACCCCCTACCACATGCAGAGCAGAACTCACTTGCCATGTGAGTACGTTAGTTTGTTATTTTCAGAAGGTATCTTAGCCAGAATCTGCTCTGTCACCTCCAGGAAGTTTCCTCCACACCAGGCATGTTTGGCAAGGATAGTGGTCCCCCTGGCAACAACAGCAAAAAGAATGGCCATGGCTTTAATCTATCAAAAGAAAAAAAGACACAGGTTTAGAATATTTCTTTGACATGATTTTTCAAAAGTAACTTATTATCATTTATCAACATCTACCTGAAGATAGTATTGAAAAAGGTACTATAACATGAAACTTAACAGACTTAACAGTAGGCTTAACAAGGTCAGTCTTCTTTCTACAAGCTTATAACCTAAGCCATGTTGATATGCACAAATATAAGGAGACATATAAAATACATACACATACACCATCGATAGATAGGTTGCATTTACAAATTATTACAGCACAAACTGACATCACCCTTTTGAAAAGCAATGACCATAGACAGCAAAGGAACATAAAAATGTCTTCATTCTGTAATGCAGTAATTCCATCTTGAAAATTTATCCTATAGAAATTGTTCAACAGAAGTTAAGATCTAGATTTACAAAGGTAGCTATTAACAATAATAGCCCATATTTATTGTTTACTATGTACCAGGCATCATTTTAAGCACTTTACAATGATTAATTCACTTAATTATCACTCAGATTATACACTATTATCATATTTCTTTTATAGATCAGAAAACTGAAACACAGATGACTTAAGTAATTTGTCCAAAATTAGAGCTAGCAAGTGATAGAGCTGCAATTTAAACCCATGCTGTAGAGTTCTAGAACCCATAATCTTATCCCTTTACTGTACACTGTCTCTAGTACAAAAGCATTACCCACAATAGAAACGAAGCAAAAATAACACAAACCTCCCATATGAGAGGAATGGTTTTATGAATTATGGTAAGACCCTTCATAAACAAAACATTGCTAAAACAACATGGCATGAATTTAAGAATATTTTCTTTGTTTGGCTATGAATATGTGCTATTTTTCCCACATAGTCCAATTTCTCTTATTTGATGGAAAAAAACTTATAAAAAGAGATGAACAAACACTTTCCTAGTCTTCAGTTAACTATTAAACCTAATATTATTTGTTAACATGTTTGGTTTCACCCAAAAGACCAGTGGTTCTCAAATTGTAGAGATAATACAAATCATCTTGGGTGGCAGAGTGATAGTTGCTTGCTAAAAATTCAAATTCTTGGCATCACTTCCTGAAATTCTGGCTCTGTAGGCCTGAAGTGGGGACCTGGAATCTGTATTTAAAACAAGCATGACTGAATACAGGTGATTTGCACAACTATACTTTGTGAAACATGGCAACAGACTATAAAGTGCTTAGGGTCAGGGAATGTGATGATTTCTTACTGGAATCTTAGCACAGAAGAACAGCACAAAGAGTAGAAGGTACTCATCTGTCTCTTGTGCTGATACCTCTCAGGTCTCTTCTTCATTTGTACTCTACTTCTCTCCCTGTTCCCCAGAGTTGTGTCCTCAACCATGTTCTTTTCAGAATTCTCCTTACACATATGTAGCAAGTTAGTTTCCAAAATGCTGCCTCATACTTTATCTCTCTTGATCCTAAAAGCCTCCACTGACCCTGTATCACATGGTCTAATTCTTAAAATCATTGTCTACACACTATTTCTGCTTCTCTACCTCTTTTTACCTCTTCTAACTATAATCTGGCTTTTGCCCTTAACACTTCACAAAACCATGCATCCTAAGGTTACCAAAAGCCTCTATGTTGCAAAAGACAGTGGTTACTTCTCTATTCTTACCTTACTTGACCTCTCAGGAACAGTCAACACCATTGACCAACCCTCCTTACTGAAGTGATCCTATGTCTCTGGCTGCTCTTTCTGTCTTCTTGATGACTCTTTCTCCCCAACCTGACCTCTAAATGTTGACTTTCTTCAGGGGTTGATTCTGTGCCCTTTTATTCTCAGATGAGCTCATCTAGACCTACCATTTCAAACATGATTTATTTGCCAAAGATATATTGTATACAGAAACAATGAAGAGTGTCAAACCCAAAGCACAGCCAACAGTTGAGGAAAAGGTAACTGAAAAAGACGCACAAAGAGGACTGAGGAGGACAAGCTGGCAAAGCCAAAAGAGTGTGGTGGCCTGCAAGCCAAAGGAAAAGAAAGCTTCAAGAAAGAACAAGTGTCAGCTCCTAGCTATATTCACTCATGCAGAGAGATCTGAAGACTATAAAATAGTCAATGAAACTTTATAGGAAGGAAGGAAGTCATTGCTTAGGGTCAAAGAGACATACAGTGAAGAGGAAAAAGAAACCATGAAGAGAAAAAGAGATAAAACATCATATAGTCCCTGAGACAAAGAGATGAAAAAGTAGCAGCCTCAGTTCTTGAGTAGTTTCAAGGAGAAAACTGAGCTTGGCAACAATTAGTATAAAAAGATCTAGCATCTTAGTAGACTGTAAGTTCATTATGAACCAACTTCTGGTATTGCTTAAAATGTTTACATAATCTTAAATTACATTAAGAAATAGGGTGTCTTGATCTCTTTAAGTACTATTGCCATTACACTCTGTGCTAGTTAGAACACATGTACAATATTAAATCAAATATTTTAGATATTATTAAAATATTTAGAATATTTTAAGATTGGACAGAAGAGAGACAATGTGGGTGAGAGACATGGAGACTGTGTCATCTACAGAACAGCTGGAGGAACTAGAGATACTTAACATGAAAAAGAGAAGACTTTGAAGAAACTTGAGAATAGTTTTCAAGTTTACATAAAGTACCGTCACCTGAAGCAGGGATCACATTATTCAGAAAATAACTAAAAACAATGGATATAAAGAAGTAGTGCTTTGTTCAATAAAAGCAGTCCCCAATTTAAAAAAATGACTGACTGTTAAACATTGAACACATAGCAACAGAAACTTTCCTTTCAGATGTCACTAATAGGATTCATTCCTCTCTCCTATACTGCTAAAAATCCTACCTATAAAGTCTCACCTGCTCCATTGTAATTCTTTTGCAATGGAATCTGTAACATCTTGATGCTTATTGTGATAAAAGAAACAACAGTGGCAGAAAGAACAAGGCATTTGAAGTCAGAAAACTTGGCTCTGCTAATTATTAGCAGCATGTGAATGTCTAATAAACCATAAAGTGCTATAAAAAGATAATACTGAGGGCCAGGCGTAGTAGCTCATGCCCGTAATCGCAGCATTTTGGGAGGCCGAGGTGAGAGGATTGCTTCAGCCCAGGAGTTTGAGATCAATCTAAGCAACATAGTGAGACACTGACGATACAAAAAAATTTTAAAATGAGCCAGACGTGGTGACACGTATCTGTAGTCCCAGCTACTAGTGAGGCTGAGGCAGAAGGACCTCTTGAGCACAGGAGGTCAAGGTTGCAGTGAGCCATGAACATGCTGCTGCACGCCAGCCTGGGCGACAGACTCTGACTCAAAAAAAAAAACAAAACAAGAGATAATATTCAAGAAGAAAAAGAACAAAAAGATAAACCAGAGAGAGAAGGAACACACAAAAAAGTAATGCAATATAAAGGAAAGCCCTATCTCAACACTGTTCCTCCCTGTTCTTTTCATTCACTCCTCACTTGGTCCCAGAGCCATCATCCCAATTCTACTTCTTGCCTGCTAAGAATCCTGTATTAATTTCTTGTGGCTGCCATAACAAAGTATCAAAACCTAGGTGGCTTAAAACAACAGACATCTATTGCCTCATAGTTCTGAAGGCCAGAAATCCAAAATTAAGGTGTTGGCAGGGCCTCGCTTCCTCTGAAACCTGTAGGGGAGAATCCTTCCTTATCTAGCTTCTGGTAGTTTGCTGGCAATCCTTTGTATTCTTTGGCTTAGAGCTACAGAACTTCAATCTTTGCCTCTGTAGTCACATAACATCCTCTCTGTGTCTCTTCTCTTATAAAGACATCAATAATATTGGATCAAGGGCCCACTCTACTCCAGTATGACCTCATTTCAAATTACATCTGCAAAGACTCTATTTCTAAATAAGGTCTTATTCATAGATACCAGGAGTTTGGATTTCAATACAGCTTTTTAAGGACACAATTCAACCTGCAACAAACTCCCATTTTAAACTGATAAGAACAGATACCACACTTAATCTTAGTTAAAAGCTGAGATATGGTGCAAACCTCCATTTTAGAAACTCACTGTTGCTCCCAAATCAATCCTATTCTTCCCTCTCCATATACTCATATCACCCCACCTAGCCTCCCTCTCCTCTCCAAAATGTCTATCCCACCTTTTTCCTCACTCATATTGGAGGTCTGTCCTTAGAGCTATGGGCCAGAAGTGTAACCTACAACAGCTTGGAGTTAGACAAGCCTGTTTCTACTGTGTTAAGGTTTTAAGGAAAGGATATTTTTGTTCTAGTTGCTGGAATTCCAAAAAAAGATACGCTACAAGGGAATCCAAATGAGAATTCTACACACAGGTTTTTAATAGAGGAATTATTATAAATTGTGAAGAAGATCTTGAAGCCCACTAAATTAAGGGTTAATAAGATGCTACTGGTTGGCATAACAACCTAAATGTCATGGATAACATTGTTTATAGAGAAAAATTAATCCAGAGTTTCAAACAGTAAGCTTACAAAGGAACTTTTGGAATATATTCATTTGTAAGTAAGGGATAGCCTGTATATAAAAATTTGGTAATAAAATAGAACAACAATGATGAAAATGTTCCTTCTCAGTGGAAGCTTCAAGTAGAGGTTGAAGACAGTTGCAGGAAATTGAGTAGAGGGAAAAACCAACTCCATGAGTTTTGAGAATCTTTTAATTCTGTGTTTTATTTTAGTAACACTAAAAAAATATAGAAAAATACTCTGGATCATCCACTTATATATCTTATAAAAGAGCAATAACACTTAATTCAGTGCTGTACTTGCATTCATGTTTATGGAGGCACAGGTATCAAAAAATCCCCTAAAATGACAGTACTTAATATTTTGTCTTAGAAGCATGTCTGGCTGATATTAGGTTGGCACATCATAAAATCATAATGACAGTCATGACTCAAGTACTCTTGTACTACTGTTATACTTTTAATCAGTTATAATGACAAAATTTGTCTTTCCAGTAGTGATTTACAATAGAAAGATATCTGCATGGAATAAGACTTTAATTTTAAGTGAGACTTCTGACATTATGAAAATGACAGCATGACAAAATAACATTTACACAAATTATCTCAGGCTAAGGAGAAAATAATAATCAAAGATGTGTTTGTACCAAATGGAAACAAAATGATACATTTTGTGTGAACAAATGTTGTGTAACTGTTCAAATAAAGAAATGGAAGAATTAACTCTTCACATAACACATGGTAACAGTCAATGTAAAAATCAAAAGTGTTTTGTATCATTATTTATATTACATACTGTTAAGATTATTTCTCCTTGGAAGAGAAGTCAAAGTGTCTATTTTACCCTCAATATTTTGTTAGTGCTCAGCACAGTGCCTGACATATAATATTCCCTCAAATATTTGTTGAATAAATGAGTAAGTACTAAGTATCCTTTGGCTTTAAATATACCATAAATGGTAGACAACTTTATATTCAGTAGCACATGGTAAGAAGAGTATTTTCACTACCAAACTATCTAAGTAAAATAAAGCAGTTGAGTTAATAGTATTCCAATTTCCAACTCTTACATCTGGGTCCTTTCGTCTGGGTCTTAGAAGGAATAAGCCAACTACAGATAAACCACAAATTCTGATGCAATAACCTTGGAGGAGACAGAAGAATGAAGAATAAACACTGCTATGACGGACAGGGGAATAGAAGAGGTGTTTATTAAAGTCAGATTACAGATTAAGATTACTTTTGTTGGTATTACAAATATTCTTTCTTTCTGGACCATGCTGAGACCCCACTTAATCCCTCTGACATTCCCATAATAGGATCCTACCCTGTCAAGTCAACCACCTGCGTTATCTTGCGTTAATCAACATATAACATTTTGATTATTCCTGCTTGCAGCCCCCCAAACATGTAAGTTCCTGAGAGTAGCAACCTCCTACATCTTATTTACAGTTGTATCCCCTGCACTTCGAAGAGTGTCTACCATATATTAGTTGTTCAATAAATATTTGTTAAATATATTAATCTGCCGTCACAGGTATTCAAAGGGAACGAATATCCCAAACAAGACAGTATTCTTCAGCATTAAGGATGAGAGAATGGAGGTACAGGTAGTTGAGAGCAATTAATGAGACAGAAGAAAAAGGACTTGATAACTGATTGCTTGTCGGAGTTATGGGAGAGGGAGATGTAAAGCATTTACCAAAGGCATGGTCAGAGTTTTATAAAATTGGCCATTAATAAAAAATAATAACATTAGGGTTTGACGTTGAGGAAACGGGTCTACGGAGAGATATAGTGCCTACCTGAACTGAGGAAAAAAGAGGACTGTCAATACTGAGCGGTGGAGGAAGGGCGAATATGGGGCTAGGAACCCACGAAGGCGCATAAACAGCCAGAAGTAGGTGAAGCAGAAAGTGACGTCATCCAACAAGGACGTGGAGAGTTTTTAGAAGGCTCGGGCCATCACAAGAGATTCAAATGCTGCGGAAAGGTCTTGTAGAATGCAAACTAAGGGAAAGTTAACATTTCTCCCTCCTGTAATGACAATTTAAACCACACATTCTGACACTCTTTAACTCGCGGCCTCTTCGGCAGGTTAGGACGCACTTCGCCAAAAGTGGACCTGTCCGACAATTCGAACTGTCGACACCAGAGAAGCCCAAGTCACCCTTGCACTGCCTCCTCGCTCCACCCCAGCACCTTTCCGTCTACACCTCCGCCCTGCCTCTGCCGTCGTCTCCCCGCCTCCCGCAGAGCGCGCCCCGCTCCACTTACCTGTCCGGGCACCCACGGAGGGCGCGCAGGCTCGGGGCCAAGGAGCACCGGCCAGCGCAGGGTCGCCGACTTCGCGCTCCCAGAGCAGGCTGGGACCGGACGCCGCTGACTTCCGCGTAAATCGCCCCGCCTACGCGTGACCTCCTAGGAGTGTCAGCGCCCCTCCAATAGGAACAAGCGGCAGGACGGGGCCTGCGGCGTTCCGAGTCTCTCGCACTTCCCAGGAGCCGTACTGCATTTCGGGAGTAGTAGTTCCGATTGGAGTATCACTGAGTCAGTCACACATTCGGTCAACAACTCTTGTCGTAAACAACGTAAAACGCCGTACAGGGATCAGTCAAAACAAGAGGATGCAGGGCTACAAAAAGAATCCACCAGCTTTGAGTCGGCGGCATGAATGAAGAGCCAAGCTTACCCAGCCACCTCTACGTTTAGTCTTAGCAGGTAATGTCGCTTGTTACTTCACAGACAAAATAAAATTCATCTGACAGGAACGCTCTCTACTTTCTCTATGAAATTTTGTAACTCACTTGTATCTCTCACTAATCCTTTCTCCCATTCTTTTGCAATACTTCTTTTTTAGTAATAAAAAAAAACTACTCTCCTTTTATCTAAGCCCTCCCCGTTACACCCCATTCCCTCTTGCTGACTCAGTATAGCTCCTATGATGAACCCTTCTGTCCATGACTCCTCAATGGCTCTTTGCTCACTTGCTCTTTATTACCAGTATTTAAAGACCATCAACATTGGTCTCATCTAAAACTTTCCAAAGTCACCTTTCTCAACATTCTCTTAGCTCTTTCCAAGAAGCTCCACCCTCCTGGTTCCTCCCCGACCCCTGGGGCAGCTCTTCAATTTCTTTTGAAATATACATGCTCCATAGGGTTCTGCCCTACACTCTCTTTCCTTACTCTTCACAATTTTGCTGGTGATTTTAACTATCCCCATTGCTCTCATTGTCATGTATATGTTGATGATTCCCACATATAGGAAGCCCAGACAAGACTCCTGTAATCCAGACTCAACTATCTAATGACAGCTCGGCATCTCTTTCAGGCACTTAAAACTTCATAGTCCCCAGTTGACCTAATACATTTCTACGCTCCCCTCTCCGCTTACCTTCTCCTCCTTCTTCTGTAACTCCCACCTCAGTGAATGGCATGACCATACAGTCAGTTGCTCACAACAGAAATCTGGGTATCATTTTAAATGATTTCCTCACATCTACTCCCTCTAAAACCAAGCCATATTAATTCTGTCTCCTAAATATCTCACCTCACCGTCAAGCTTCAGTTTTCTCATCTTTAAAATGAGGATAATAATAGTACCTGACTTCAAGGATCGTTGCAATGACTAAAGACCCTTCATGATCTGGCCTTTCTCTACCTCTCCTGAGTTGTGTTCTGCTTCTCCTACCACATACCCTGTGTTCAAGCCTACTTCTGTGTGGTGGCTATAATGGTTAATTTTGTGTCAACTTGACTGTGCCACAGGGTGCCTAGATTAAATATTATTTCTGGATGTGTCTGTTAGTTTCTGGATGAAATTAGTATTTGAATCTGTGAACTCAGTAAAGTATATTGCCCTCTCCAATAAGGGTAGGCATCATCCAATCTATTGAGGGCCTAAACAGAACAAAAGGAATTTCTGAACAGAGCAGAAGGAATTTGCTCCTTTTTTTTCCTGCCTCACTGCTTGAGTTGAGACATCTCATCTCATAGTCTCCTGCACTTGGACTATGATTTAAATACCAGGTCTTCAAAATCAGACTAAATTATATCACTGGCTTCCTTGGGTCTCCAGATTTCAGATGGCAGACTGTGGGACTTCTCAGCTTCCAATCATGCAAGCCAATTCCTCATAATAAATCTTTCAATCTACCCCCCCCATATATATGATTTTCTATTTATTCTGTTTCATTGGTTCTCTGGAAGAGTCTGATTAATGCAGGGTCATTCATTCATCTATCCATCCATTCCTTCAACAAATATGTACTAAGTGCCTACTCTGAGCCAGGGCTTGTTCTGGATGCTGGACATATATGCTATATGTATATACTATATAGCTGTGAACAAGACAGATGATGTCTTTGACTTCATACCTTTGTACATACTGTGTCCCCTGTCTAAATCTTATTTATTGTTCAATACTTACATCGAGTATTATCTCTCCATTTTTCCAGCTAAGTACAAGGGGTGGCTCCAAAAACCCATAATTATTTTTTGGAGGGCTGGCCCCTTGTAGTACAGACTTCCTCCACTGGCTAAGTGTTCTAGGAACCCACTAGCATCAATGTACTGGCTAGCGTTGTTGTGAGAGGTTGCATCAGAACAAATTGAAAATCATATATATGGGGGGTAGATTGAATTTTTATTTGGAGATTCTTTCAACACATTTGCCCATTTCATGATGGGTAATTTACATGGACAACCTGTCCACATTGGACTGAGTATTCAGCAGTTTCTGGTCAAAAACGGCTTGACCCCCATGACCCAACCTCACCCTGCGTGATTTTTTTGTTTGTTTGTTTCCCTGGATAAAAAAAGTCTTCATAGGGAAACATTTTGCCAATGTGGAAGAGGTGAAATAAAAAAACAGCAGAAGTGCTAAAAGGCATCAAAATTGATGAGTTCAGAAATTGTTTTGAGCCATAGCAAAAAGCATCTCAATAGGTGTATTGCATCAAACAGAGAGTACTTGGAAGGTGACTGAAGTTTAAGCATGTATGAATAAATACACAATTTTTAAATAAAGATGTGGAGTACAATTCAGGGTTAGGTATACAAACATTGATTATGTAGGTACCCTTGTTGAAGAGGTATACCCCTCCCTCCCCTAGCAGTTTCCCTCAACTGCCAATCCCACCCCTCTCCCCTGACAGTTTCCCATTACTGCCAAATGCTTTCTTATAGTATTATAATTGTTCAAGGTCCACTTATGAATGAGAGCATATGGTACTCTGTTCTTTGTTTCTGTGACAGATTACTGAGTATGATCGACTCCAAATCCATCCAAGTTGCTGCAAAGTTCATATATTTGTCCTTCTTTATGGCTGCATAATATTCCATTGTGTATACATACCACATTTTCTTTATCCAGTCTAGCTTCGATGGGCAACATGACTGGTTCCATGTTTTTGCTATTAAATACACAATTTTTTATAAATAAATTCCGTTTTTTGGGAATCCCCCTTGTATGTGATTCTTTTTTCAGCTTTGTCTACCTTCTGCTAAGGTTCACTTCTCATAATTAACATTCTTAATTATCATAATTAATATTACTTTATTATATTCAGTACCTATTCTTTGAGAGGCAGCATAGTATCTTAGAAAGAGAATGAATTTTAGAGTCAGACAGACCTGAGTTACTAGGTGTGTGAACTCTAAATATTGCTTCCATTTAGAGCTTTTGTGGCTCTATCAAAGCCCCTCTTCTTACTCCATATTTTCTCCTAAAGTAATCTCATCTGTGCTTCAAAATTTGTATCTCTAGCGTAAGCCTTTATATTTGGAAATCAGGGAGACCTCCCTGAAAAGGTGACATTTAAGTTGAAATCAGAAAGTCAAAAAGGAATCACCCACAAAAAGATAAAAAGAACAAAAATAAGGGCAGTGTTACGAGCATAGTGTGAGGGGAGAATGGCAGAAAAGAAGATCGTACTGGTCTTCTTTCTGTTCCTCAAATATATCAAGCTTCTTCCCACATTACAATCTATGCACCAGCTCTCTTTGTTTGGAAATGTTCCCTCTTATTTTCTTGTGGTCAGGTTGTATAAGCCAGGTGAAGGAGTTTGCATTTTATTCTAAGTGTAATGGGAGTTCATTAGAGAGGTTTGAGTAGAGGAGTGGTATAACTGATGTGTTTTTTTTTGTTTTTGTTTTTTTTTCATTAATCAGTATTTTTTATTATGGTTTTGTGGGGCACAGTTAAGGGTTAGGTGTACAATGACGTTTCATTCAGGCACCCTGTAGATAAGAAGTGTTTTCCCATCCCCCGACAGATATTTGCTACTGTTAATCCCATCCCCCTCCCCCCCATAGTTTCGCAGT